CATTTTGTTTATGCATTCATCTGTGCATTTGATTTTTCAAATGATTTTTAATTCAATTCCAGGGATTCTCTGAAGTTCATTCGTGTGCCCCAGGGGTGGGGCTGAGGTCAGTATGACTTAGACACAGAGCTGGGCCATCTGAAAGTGGGTTTCCACCCCTAATGTATGTGCTCAGGGGCTAGCGATTTATCACAACTTGGGAAAGGCAGAGTGGATATTAAGGGAGCCTTCTTAGAGGAGGAGAATTTGAGGTGGGCCACTAAAGAGTTCAACAGGCAGGTCGGCACAGCAGGCACTCCATATGAAGGCATAATAGGAACCAAGGCCCGGAGGGGATAAAGCACAAGTTCGGGGAACAGCATCGTTTAGCCAGCAGCAGTCTTCCCTCAGTTCAGCAACTCTGAGCAACCTCCTCCAGCCTGGGGAAGAGGAGGTGACCAGGTTGACAGAGGACAAGACATCAATTATTGCTTCATGTCTCTGTTTATTTCCACCCAGCCAGATGCCGGGCATGTCGTCAGCTCCTCTTTTCAGAGGCTAAACAATCTCCCTAAATAGAAAGTATGTTTCCTGTACAGCCTGCATCCTCCCCTTCCAGGGACAGCCACCCTCCAAAGCCTGAGGCTGGGGCAGTCTGTTCTTAAGCCCCTCACAGCTAGCTCACCCCTTCATGCCTGGCTCCCTCCTCCCAGTTCATCCTGCCACTTGTGTCTCACCTCCGCATACACACTCAGACCTCTCCCCTATTATCTGCATTGACCTCCCTTCCACTGACCATCCCCCCTACACACCTGGCTCACTCTCCACATCTGGGTCATTCCCCTCAAATCCAGCTGCTGCCCCCCTTTAACAATGCATCACATCACTATCCTCCTTATTAGACCCTTGCTCCGCTAACACACAGCAGGAATCATCCATTCTCTTCCCAGAATGACCTGACTTCAGCCTCATGGGTGATGTGCACGCAGACTCTGGGCACCACCCCTAGGCTTTCAAACTGCTCTTATGCTCTTCTGGAGAAGGGCACACGGGGAGATGTTTTGGAGGCCACAGAGAATTGGGGTTAGGAGCAAGGGAGGCTTTGAAGCAAAATGTGGTTTTGCCTCTCAGTGTTGCCCCTTCCTAGGCCATCTCCCTTCTCTTTAGAGTGGGGACAGTATCAGTCTCACAGAGTTGCCATCACCCTCCATTATTTCATCCTGGTTTGCTATGCTCAGAATCCTTTTCCCATATTTGTGTACAGTCTGTCTGTCTGCCCTTACTAAAGCATGAGGTCCAGGGCAGCAGGGGCCTTGCCTGTCAGGGTCACGGCTGTATCCCAGTTCCTGGAATAGTGTCTGGCACATGTGGGTCATCAATAATGGATAGGGATGGGGGAAGCCTGGAGAAGTGTCAATGGAGGTAGCTGCCTTCCAATATCTAGAGGGCAGGGGAANCCCCAACAATTGATCCCTGAGGTGCCTGTCAGTTCCCCACTTCCTATGTCAAGGTCCCAGTGCGCTATGCCTCCTTCCTTTGGGGTTCTCTGCCTTGTCCATCATCCCTAAGGCATGGGGTACGCCTTGCCCCGTGTCCCATTCCCCCGTGATCTTTACCTCCACCTGGTGTTACCCCCATCCTCCAGGCCCCATGTCATGAACCCCATCCAAGAACCCCTGTCCCTGTCGGGTTCTCCTGAGCTCCCAAGGCAGCCAGCGCCAACCTTTTAGGCTCTCTGCGGCCTCCAAGAATCTGTTTGGAGGTATTCTGAGGCGGGATTCCTTCTTTAGAGGCTTCATGGTACCGTCCGGGCCGAGAGCGTGGCCCTGCTCCGCCGGGACCTGGGATAACTAAGCCGTGGGGCACACCCCCGCGACCCCGCCCGCCAGCGGGCGCAGCTGCGTCCATAGCAACCAGCGGCCCTTGCGGGGGCGCGCCCCCACCGAAGCACCTGGGCGGAGAGTGCTTGGAAGTCACTTTTTTCATCGGGTCGCCCCCGCGCGGGTGCTAAGGGCCGCTCCTCCCTCGCGCAGACCTTGAAAACGCCCTGGGGCCCGACCGTGACGTCACCAGCGGCGCCGGCGAGCGCCATGAAGTTACCAGCCGTGCAGCAGGGTGGGGCAGGGCCTCGCGGGAGCTGCAGGAGGTGGGGGAGGGGCTGCATGCACACGCCCGCCCCTCCCCGCACTAAGCCAGGGGGTGTCCCAGCTGCAGCCCTCTCCCCGGATTGCCCAGATTCCCGCCTGCCCTCCCTTTGTCCTTCCATACAGCCGCCACGGGATTGTTCAGTCTCCCCACTACACACACCCCTGCCCCCCCCCAGCCCCCGTGCCGAAAACCCCTGGAGGGCTTCCAGTGGATTTCATTCACCAGGGGTCCCTGCCTGTCTCCTACAAGCGCCTGGTGACCTCCCCTGCCCACGCTCCCTGCAGCCACTTTCGCCTTCCATCACTTCCCAAGACAGCCAAGCTTCCCTCCCCCCACTTGGAGCTTTCTCATACTGCTTCTCATACTCCAAGGTGTTTTCAGTCCTTGGAGATGCTGACCTTGACTCCTAATTTAAAATAGCCTCTCTGTTATCGCAACTTTATAATTACACCTGGTTTATTCCCCACCACCACCACACCCCCAGCCCTAACGCATTCTGGAATTATTTTGTTTATGTGGTTGCCTGTTGTCAAGCTTGCTGTGAGAATGTAAACTCCATAAGAGCAGAGAGGCCTGTCCCTTGTCCCTACCCCAACCCAAAATTTAGCCCATAGTGGTCACTTTGTGGAATAATGAAGGGGCTCTAGAGCCAGACAGAGCTGGGTTCCAATCCCAGTTCTGCCTGCTTGCCAGCTGTGTGTTCTTAGGCCAGTCCTTTGACCTCTCTGAGCTACAGTTTTCTCATAAGATGGGGGTCATAATGGGCCGCTGTAAAGGTTACACAGGGCCATCTTAAGAATTAACTGAGAGTTTGCATTTAAACTACCCAACACAGTGCCCTCCATACACTGTAGTGTTTTCTCAGTCAATTCTCAAAAATCATGCTGGAGTTGGGGAGAGCAGATGCACTCTGTACCCATTTTACAAATGGAAAAACTGAGCTTCAGAGAGTAGAAGGATGTAAAGTCATCAGACTAGCAAGAAACACAATTTGAACCTGATTCTCCCAAGGCCAAGGCCAGGGCTCTTTGTACCCTGTCCCTTAGGTCATTTCTGAACTTTGCTGCAGTCTGCCCCCAACCAAGGGAAGAACTAGGGAGGATGTAAGGAGGGCTGGTCAATCCCAGTACTCCTAGTGTGTTCTCCACTACTG